GTGTACAACGGAGCAAGGTCGGTCTCGTCACAAAGTTCTTGTCAGTCTTGTGTCGTAACAAAGCTCTCGTCCTCAACAAAATCACGGGTGTCAACGAAATCAATACGCTCATTGTGAGCACCGTGGCAAATAATTTCCGGAATTGCGGTTAATGTAGACATGTGCGCTGCTATAGTCTATCCCGACAGTGTGACCAGTGCCGACATATTTGGGATTATAGTCTATAGCCATGAAAACTGTAGTCTTCTGATGCTCAAACTCTTAAGCGCCAGCTGACATCAGTATAGGAAACTATCCTCCGGCTGTGTTATCCTACCTTGCTGGTGTATTTAATGACCACGTTTCACTTCTGTGCGCTATACCGGGTGCCCCCCCCCCCACAAAAAAGTAATGAACCCTCTTTCCTTATTATTTCAACTGAGCAGAATTTCCCGATATCTGAGCGGACTGTTGTATCATATGTACCAGCTGTCCGTCTGATTATTGCCTTAATTCTACAACCCCGTCAGTTGGCAAATGTCATGTGTGCAGCAAGCTTTGCACTGTAATGCGCGCCTCGCTCGCTATCAAGTCTTACAGGCACATACAAAACCTTGTCCTACTAGAAAACCCCAGAAAGGGAAACGACAGGAAAACAGGAAAAAACGTTCGGACGTGCACCTAAAATACACTAAAACAGGTTTCTCCCGGCATTTTCCTCTAAAAGCTGGGGTGGTGCGCTTCCGAAAACCAGTGATTTGAACGTCCTACAAAATTTAGGCCAATCTCTGCAGTGCCAGCGATAGCAAAGATAGTCGAGCGTATTGCTCATCATCAACTTAGTTCATATTTTAACGAGCATAATTTATTTTCTCATACACAACACTGATACCGTACGATTTTTTCGACAGAGACCGCACTTACTGTAGTGACTGACACAATACTCACCGCGATGGATGCTGGGGGGATCGCTGTGCTTGTTTTGGTAGATGTCAAAATGTTTTGACGTTGTGGACCACCAGCTTCTCCTATCCAAGCTAAAGATATACAATATCGACGCGAAATGGTTTGAAAGCTACCTTTGCGGGCATACCCAACAGGTTCAGGTCAGATATCCTTCAGAGCATACTGCGCGCTCTCATAGTCTTCCGACTTGGGGAGGGGGGGATCTCAGGGAACCGTCCTCGGGCCGCTGCTATATTCCATTTTATCGAACGATCTAGCGTTATATTCAGAAGGCGCTACAGTGATACAATATACCGATGGCACACAGATTTCGGTTACTGGAAAGAAAAGTGCAATGCAACAGCTTGTCGCAACCATGGAGAGTGCCTTGTTCAATCGTATTGGACTGGTTTGACAACCGCTATGAAATTCAATACACCAAAAACACAGTTAATGGTCTTTGGGACGAAGGCTATGTTGCGTCATATGCCTCATGTGCATATTAAGTTCGGGTCAGCTGTCATCACTGAAAGCAGTACTGTCAAAAACCTTGGTGTGGTGATGGACAGGAATCTCACATTTGAACCGCACATTGATCAGCTCGTTGCCAGGTCGACGGGCGCTCTGGTGGCCCTGTCCCATGCCAAGCATGTACTTCCAAGAGACACCCTCGTTCGCATTGTCGGAGCTCTAGTTTTTTCCTCCATTAGATACTGTATAGCATTGTATGGTACTCACGGAGCCACCCAGTTCCATCGCGTGCAAAAACCCGTGAATTGTGCGCGGGTTGTGAGCGAAAGGAGAAGGTGTGACCATATATAGCATGTTGTCAGGGATCTACGATGGCTTAGTGCTGATCAGCTCGTCAGATATCATATGTTGTGCCTGCTCAAAAAAAGCCTTACTCACTGTCCAGCCACCAGATATAGCCGCGATGTTCACACGTGCTGAGTACACCCATGAAACGCGACAGGCTAACCAGCTGAGGCGCCCCCGAGCGGTGAGCAACTCTGGCACTCGCCGATTTAGCTACAGAGCATCGGATTTGTTTAGTCTAGGCCGCTTCAAGCACCAACTTATGGAGTTTCTACTGAGCGAGTCGAATGTTGGCACATGAGTGGGTGTGTGTGTGAGTTCAATTGTGTGTGATGCCACAATGTGAATGCAATAGTGTGATTCCCCGAGATGATCCCTTGACCGATGTGTGATGTGTTAGGCTATTTTTACTAGGTTTCACATTGTCTCTTCGATGCCCGTTTTTATCAATGATGACGTGTAACTTTTAAAAAGCCATTGGATCTTGTGGAAGGTTACGAAATATACCAACATGAACATGAATACCCGAAGGTTTCCGTTTTGTGTGTTTCAAGAAGCAATCGTTGGCACGTGGGAGGGCATAAAGCTGAGCCTGGGATGAACGCTTACCCAGCCCAGCCCATTACCTTACCCAGCGCTGTCTGATTTGCCCCGCTATGAAGACACGAACCAAAGTTGATGAGGCACATCAAGGCAGCACACTTAATGATCCGGAAGCATCATCACTTGAGCCATGCTGATGTAATTACTCGACGAGCGGCCACTTGTCACTGCTGTGGCAGTGTTTCTGTGCCCCCCCCCCCCCCCCACTCCGCTAAGCCAGTGGGAGTACTGTTTTACCACAGCAGTGGCTTCGCTGAGCAATGACTGCATTTCTTGAGTCTTCTTAGTGACTGGGAGAGGGCAAGAAAGGGCCCGTTGCAAACCCTTCTTCATTCGATATGTGTGAGGTGTCTGGCATTTCTCAGAGCAAGGAGTTCGGGCGATGCATTTGATCGTCATCGTGGCTCACCTTTGCCGCCGCGACGAATGAATCAACTTGCTGAATAAATCAAATCAAAAGCTGGATAACTGCTACCGACTGCCGGAAACATGCGTAAAGGTCCTGTTGTTGTATGGAGCGGTGTTTTTGTGTTTAGAAGCCTTACAGGCGTCTTAAACTGTCGAAAATTATTGAAGCCTCCGGTCGCAGTTGGGCCCCCGCAACCTCTAGATGGAGGGGGATGTGAACCGCCTGGCTACGCCACTGTTGTTGAGTTAACTGTCGTTGTTGATGTATCTAATGTTTTTGTCACGCTAGCTGCTTCATAAGTTAAGCCAGGCCGCAAATATTCGACAAGTTTTTCAAAGGATAGCGCCCGGAATGGGGCAAAGAACAAGTCACTGCAATATATACAAAGTTTTTAAAGTAAGAGGTGGCCCTGATAAAAGTTAACGCATGTTTTCGCTCAACATTGACAAGTGCATACGCCGCATTATTGTGACTATGGTGGTTATGCAACACGACCAGTGACAGCGGTAGTCATCAGCGGTCCCTGCTAAAGTGTACTTTAAGTTTCAACCTATTCTAAGCTTTTTACAAAAAGGTAGCTCCCATTAGCTTGAAACGGAAGTCATTCATTCGCAACAAAGCAATTTTGAATTTACGAAACATGCAACAGTTTTTTTAGTTAACGTCTCAAGCTACCGAAACCTGGGGAGATCCAGGTTTTGGGGTTATGCAAGGGCAAACTTTTCGGCTGGGCCCCTTCAACCGATTGGGGAAAGTAACACCCTTGCTTGTGGTGTGCTCTGTTGGCCTACGTATTTGTTGGCCTAAGTATTAACCTACGCCTAGGAAGCTTCTGCAACTCCGTATTTACACATAGACTAGGTGACTTGGTCTGTAGGCTTGTTGGACGATTCCGGGGTTTTAAATCGGGCACCGTTAGATTTCTTTGACGCCAGGCTTTCCAGGCTTTACCTACGCCGTATTTTCGTACACCTTTTGGGCCAAGGCGGTAGCTTGTCCACCATCGTCACTTGCAGACGTAGAAAAACACCACACAGTGAGTACTGATTATTTGTAAACAAAGTCCTGAGATAAATGTTGCAGATAGGCAGACCGAAATAGTTTCGCAAAGTGAGTTGCCTGGAGGTGAGCTCACCCCAAAATCCGCCGACAGACGGGATTCTTGCTTGACTTGGCTCCGATTCTTCTCACAGTCGTGGAAACTGAGCCCAATTTGGGAAGAGTCCATCAAACTGGAAAGGAAACTTT